CAGGTGATGGATTATTTTTTCCTGCATCCTAGTTGTTTTTAAGAGATCTTTTCTTACTGTTTTACTAGCTGCACCAGCATCTTCAAGATCTGAAACTCTGTCTTCACTTTCACTTAAACGGTTTTGCAAGCTTGTGATTGAGATTTTAATTTCCTCTATATCTCTTTGACTCTTCTTTTTATGATCTATTTCTTTCCTGTATTGCTCATTCAAGGAATCTGTCATTTTTCTAATCTCTATTTTTTAAATCAATGTCTTCTTTATAAGCAGTTATTAATTCTTTTACTGTAGAAGGTTTTTTCAGATTGGGTTTCCTCCATGTTTCTGTATTTGATTGTTTACCTCAGATGCTCTGAGTTCTGAGAGTTCTTTTTTTATTTCAGAAAATAATTCCGCTTGGAGGTCCTCTATATCTTTTTTTTACTGTTGCTTATTTACTTTTAACGCTATTAATTCATACATTTCAGGTAGGCTAGCATACTCTGCACTTGTTCTGGGTGGGCAGTGGGTTTCCTCCATATGTTTCTGCATTTGATTCTTTACTGCAGATTAATTCAGATTTCTTTTTTTTTATTTCCAATCTGAGTTCCTCTATACCTTTCTGCAGTTGTTTCTTTATTTCAGAAGCTCTTGATTCATTGATGTCAGCTATGTGATTCCCAGTTTGTTCTGTGCTAGTGTCCTCTGCACTTATCATGGGTGGGCTTGGGGTCTGAGATTGCCTTTTGCTCCTTCTCATTGTCATTTTGAATAGCACTGTCTTTGTTGTAGAGCTTTGAGGTAGTTTTGACCTTAGCACCTACTGAAATTCAGGTGCAGATCTACAAAGTTTGAATTTATCCAGCTGTGCCTGGCTTGGGTCTGGCAGCTGTGCTCAGCTCCTTCTTGCTGCAGCCCTTGGGAGTGATCCTGTTGTGCCTCTCTGGCAAGATATTCTGCTCCTGGACTAGCTGGGTGGTTCTGTCCCCTACTCTCTCTGCAGGGACTGCTGCAGAGTTTCACCCCAGGCCTGAGCTGAGTCTGAAGGAGACAAGGGGAGTAGGGGAGAGGGGAAGCTCTCCCACACACTCATTGGGCTTGGGCTAGTGCTGGATCTGGGGGTCCCAAGAACGCGGCAGAAGTTCTCACTAATTCAGCGGGTGTGTGAAAGTGTGTGTGGGGGGCTGTGGAGTGGTGGTGGGGTCCCGAGGACATGGAGGAGGGTCTCACTACACTGCTCCTGGGTTTGGACTGGACAGGTCCTGCGTGATGGTTGGAAACCGTCACTCTGAACACTCTTCTGAAGATCATCTTTTACCTGGGAACCTCCTAAGCATCCCTAAAGATTCAGCTCAGCCTTCACGTTCTCTAGAATTCTTCCCTGCCTCCAGTCCTAGATAAGCTGTTCCCCTGAGCACTCTCAACTTTCTGCACCTCTGTTGAAAAAGACTGACCATAGACCTGGGAGCCCCCAGTGCAGTGGTCTCCACAGTCAGGTTTATAGGGTGATCCATTGGGGCTTGAAAGAAAATGTTATGACTTTTCTCTCTTTTAAGAATCTCACCTTATTCTAAAACTAGACTGTCTGCTTTGTAGCCAGGTAGCTTAGTTATGTTAGTTAATTTTTCTGTTCCTTTAAAAAAATGTATTTAGTATAGGGTCTACAGGGTCTCACTGTAGAGATTGGACTCATAGTGATCCTCCTGTTTTCAGCCTCCCAGATGCTGGGAGTATAGGCTCATGCCACCATGCCCAGTCTCAGTTGTCATCTCAGTGTGATGGGGGTGGGGGATAGGGTGGGGGGGGAGACCAGAATTGTCATCTTAGTGTGGCCCGGGGTGGGGGTGGGGGACAGGCAGAGCACTTAGGGGATTGAACCTAGTCCCTATGTTTGCCTAGGCAGGTGCTTTAATCTGCTGAGCTATCTGGCCAGCCCTCCTGTTTTGTAATACAGGAAAGCATTACACCTTCCCTGAAAGGACTTTGTGAGGATTAAATCAGCTAATATGTCTAAAAAGCACTAACAGCAAGACCTCATAATGCATATAAAGGTTCAATAAAATATTTATGTACTATAAAATAAATACACAGATGTTGGAAGTGTACACTTCAAAATTCAAAGGTGTGCTTGATTAGGAGTTTTACTCATGAGATGCTTGACTGGGAAAGTTTAGAGATCAGGCCCTGGAGGCAGGGAGCGGATCTGTTTCATTTTCTTCTGCATGCTTGGAGTGTGGTGCAGGTCAAGAGCAGGGGGAGTTTTGATGAGGAACTGGACAGAATGTTCGCAAATTAAAATTTCATGGGAACCACACCAGCAAGAACCTAGAACTGATTCAGGCTCTTTCATTTATTTCTCTATGACACTGGACAGGGCACTTTGCATCTTTGGAGACTTTTTTTTTTAGCCTTTCTCTGGGTAGAATGCCAGGCTTTAGAAGTGCGTGGGCCAGGGGAAATCACAGAACAATTCCAGGCTGGCTCTAGGGCGACGGGCGCCCTCTTGTGTCCAAATGGTGGTTTTCTTCCCAGCCTGAAGCAGAAGTCCTTATCTGATCCTCAAAGCTGCCTTCCCAATTTTAGGGCCTGACACTCTCTCAAATGTCTCCCTCTATAGCTGCACTGTCTCTCCCTTCCCAAACTCTGTCCTCTCTCTGCCTTTGGGGTCTTACTCATGGAATGTGAGAGAGATCATCTTTGGAGGTACATCACAGGGGTCCAAACTCAGCCACTTACTGCTTCCATACCCTGAGGGAATCACCTTATTTCTCTGAGCCCTTCCTTTCATCTTTGTAAACTGGAGATAACAACATTACCCTGATAGGGCTGTTGGGAGACTTCAGTAACAAGGAGTGTTAATAGGATATTAGGTTCACTGAAGAAAATCACAGGAGCTGTTATCTAAGTAAGCTGGAACATGGGTCACAGAAGAGAAGGAATTTGAACGGGGTTATTAAAACTAAGATACACATTTCTTCCGATTTTAACACTAGCCAACATGTAGTGAGCTCCTACCATATGCTAGGCACTGACAATTTGCTCAAAATCTCAAAGCCATCAATAAATATAATTGTAGCCAATGGTAATACATATGCCAATCTCTACATACTTCCTCTCAGTTATTCCTCTCAGCAAGCTTGCCAGGAAAATACTAGTATAACTCCCATTTTCCAGATAAGGAAACTGAGGCACAATGAAGTGAAGTGATTTGTTCAAGGTTTCGTATTCAGTGTGCAGGCAAAGTATGCATCCTGATTGAATTAAGTCTCAGACACAGCAGCAGGATTCCTGAGACTATGCCTTTATCATCTAATTTGATCTTTACAATCCTCTGCCCAGTAGGTTGAGTCATGCCACTCACATTTTACAGGTGAGAAAATCAGAGACAAAAACAATGCAATAGTTTAAGGCCACACAGCTAGGAAGTAGGCGGGCTAGACCTTGGATCCACGTGACTATAAAATCCACAGTCTCAACCCCATGTTAGATTGCTCATACCTCATATTCACAGTGGCACCAAGCGACAGCATATTCTATTTTTCAGTAATAACGGTTCACATTCTTCTGACACCCACGAAGTGCCAGGCGCTGTCTCAACGGATTTACATAATAACTGCTAACATTTATTGCATATTATTTGGATCCGAGCCCTGAAATAATTGTTTTGGGATTATCATCTCATTACAACTTCACCAAAAGCCGGTGACATGGATGTTATAATTGTCCTTATCTTTCAGGTGAGGAAGGAGGGTCAACATTCATCCAAATCCACGGCAATTTAGCTGTGAGCTGAAGATGGAAGCTGCAACTGTCTTCTTGTCTCCTTCCCTCCACCCTGGTCACCTGTAGTAATCCTCTTTCTATATCTTATTGTTTCTGAGATGATTCCTCCAGGTCTTCCGAGATCAGCGTCCCCTCAATAGGCTCCGCCCCTTGGGCTCTGGTGCCCGCCTACCCCGTTATTACGGAGCCAACAGAAGAGGTCTAGATCTCAAAAGGCCCCGCCTCAGGCATTGAACCTGTTTCGATTCGTTCCGGTGCCAGAGTTGTGGGAAAATGGCACATCTGCTGGTTGACGACATCTCAAAGTCCCCGCACGGAGGGAGCCACTCACCCGCGCTCGCGCGGTTCCTCCTGGGAGTTGTAGTTCCAGGTGCCCCGCTCCCAGGGTGGCGCCGTCCGGACTGCGCATCCCAGCATTCCCTGCGCGTGCCCTGGAGCACTTCCGCCCTGTTGTGAAGTGGGTGTCTTGGTGGGTGAGTCCGGGTGGCGGGGCGGGGGCAGCCGAGAAGCAGGCACTGGGCTGAAGGCTTAGGAGGTGGTGGTGGTGTCACGGGGGGCCGGGGAAGGTGAGAGCGGCAGAGAAGCTTCTGTGCGGGGGTGGAGGGTGGAGGGCGGTCAGGAGATGCAGCGTCCGGTGATGGCAAGGGTCATAGAGGGGTCGGAGATGAAGAGCTACAGAGAGGGCCGCGGGAGTGAGGCCGGGCTTCGAGAAGGCCCGTAGGTGAGGCGGAGAGAGAGGGTTAGGAGGCAGGAGAGTCACGTTAAAGACTGGAGAGCACAGAGGGAATGACAGAGGGTTCTGGGGCCCTGGCAAGAAGTGAAGATACGAAGGCCTAAACTGAGAGCCAGATCTTTAAAAGAAAGTATTTCAGCCTTTACCTATCCGCTTAGAACAAACATACCTAATTCGATGGCTTCTCTAGTGGTTGTTAGTTACTTGTATGTAGAACCTAGTGGGTGGTGCTGGCAGTTGTGTTCTGCCCCACCTGCGCTTCTTTCATTATGCCTGATGGAAATGAATGGAACTGTCATCCACCTTCCCTACGTGCCTACTTTATCTGCTGATTCCTCTTGCATTCGTCCATATCAATGACCCTCATGTCTTTGCTTGTTTAATGTCTTTAACTTGCCCCTTTCACATCAGGGATTTTGTTGAAGTCACCTTTTTAATTTTCCCAGTATGGACAAACATGCTGTAGCCAGTGTGACCTGTTTAACCCACAAATCTAATTGTAAGTTCTGCCTCTTAAATACCTATCATCACACATTGAGTTAAATCTAAACATCTTAGTTTGTATCTGGACCCTTCATAAACTCCCTTTGGAGCCTAATCGGCATCTACCCCATGCTTGAGGGCTGTCCAGTTTCCCACTATTTTCTGGGTAGGCCATTTGGTTTACTACTATTATATATACTGTTTTCTCTGCTTAGAATACCTTCCCCCTAGTTCTCTTGAGAGACCCAATCTTCTTTGAAGAAGCAACTCAATGGTTACTTTGTTCAATTCTCTTAAACAGATTAAGTCCTGTCTCACCCCCAGTTCCCATAACTTCTCTTACAGTATTTACCACATGCTATCATAATTATCTGTGACTTAAAAATTCCTTCCACTAGACTATCACTTTACAAGTACAGTTGTAAGTTATCATTTCCTCACTGCTCAGTCTGCAACAGTACATACTTGATGTTAATTCAAGTAAGTCAGTGAATACTCGGTGATTGTGTGACCAGAGACCATTAGGGTAAGCTTTGCTATGCTGGAATTAAAGACTAGTGGATCTCCAGGGCCATAAGTTTCAGTGTTTTGCCTTCCTGAATTGTTTGCTGGAAACTGAAACTAATTCAGAGCCTATCGAAATTTAAACTAAGGATAGAAAATGACATGGAATTTATACTTTCACTTCCATTTCCTATGTGTCTGTCAGTCATGGTTTATGGGTTACAGTATATATTCACTTGGAACTCAGACTTCTCAGCATAGTACTGTAGACAGCCACCTCTGGTTGATTGAAGTTCTTGCTTTAAGCAAAACTTATTTGCTCTCCCTGGTTTAAACCCTGTCATATGAGGTTGGTGTGCTTTAAGCCATAGCTTAGACCATCAGTCAAGTGGGCCTGAGGGCCATTGGGATCTTTTGAGTTTTTTGTATTTGTAGGCCACAGTCTTGTCTTGGCCTTTTTGCTGGTTGTGGGGAGAATTTTTTTTTTTCCTATTATATACTCTGGTTAGGATCAGCTCCTCTTGTCCATATCCATACTCCCAGTCTTAGCACCTAAGATGCTTTTCAACTTCTCTGTTTTAAAAGGGATCCTGATCTTGATGGTTGTCAGCACCCAGCTTTCATCTTTGGGGCGTGGGATCTGTACCATTTCTAGATTATTCTGGATATTGAAAGCATTTAGCTGGAAGGTCGCAAAGGGGCAGCCTGTGGTGAATGACTTTAGCCATCATGCTTTATTTAATCTCAGTATTTGAAATAAATTTGAGTTGGGTATCGACATGTAATCCATAGTTGTAGCTTCTTTTGGAAAACTTGGAATGTCCTGGTGTGTGCCGGGTCTGTTTTCCCTGGTATCTGTAGTTTTCACAGCTCCCTCCCACTTCATTTCACTTCACACGTGCTCATTTGCATTTTTATGCAGGAACACAGATGTTTTGCTTGTTTACTTACTGTCTCACAGGACATGAAGATGGTGATTGTCAGTCCTAGCTACTGCTGGGTCTATAGCTCTCAGTATAGCACAGTACATACTTTTTACTATGTGAATACTAGTAAACTAGATCAGATCAAATGTATCTAGTCTAGTCCATCAGTAAAGCAGTGGCTTAAAGAAAAATTATGGGGCCAATGAGATAGCTCAGCAGACTAATTGCCTGTTTAGGCAAGCACAGGGACTGGGGTTGGATCCCCAGCACCACATGCCAGGTGGGCTGCACCCCTGGGATGCACTGAGCCAGCCACAGAGTCTGGGTGTGGTGGCACAAACCTTTAAACTCAGTGCTGTGGAGGTTGGAAACAGGAGATCACTATGAGCTGGAGCTGCATAGTGAGACCCTGTACCAAATACATTAAAAAAATTATGAAAGGTTAATTTTTTAGTTTAATAAAAATTGTAAATGTTCCATAGTCCATGTCCATTAGGCTCTTGATATACCAGATTTACCATTTTGATAAAAGGCAACAAAATGTTTTAATGGCTCTGCTATCGTACATTGAGTTGAGGACTGGATACAGAATAAAGTAAGTACTGGCCCTAGTGATCCAGTCAAAATAGGCTGTGAGTTGTTGAATAAGTAACTATAATAGTGTAGGATAACATTTTAGATATATATGTACCAGCCACTTTATGAAGGAAGAGAGAATCAGGGAGGCAATTTTTGGACAGTGGGGAAGGGGATAGGGTATGATACGTATGTGTTAAGACCCTTTTTTAGAGGAAGTGTCATTTGGGTGGGTAGCAGAAGGGTAATCGGGGAAATTGCCTGGTAGCTATGAGTTGTGCTGCCAGCCTCTTCCTAAGTATGTGAAGGTCTTTGGGACAGCCTTTACTTTTTAAAATCACTTTTGCCTTGTTTCCTTACTGGACAATCCAGACAGCCTATAATGCAAAATTACCCACTCTCCACTCACAGTTCAGCTGAGTTGTTGCTACTTAGAAGCAGCTAGTAGCCTCCTTTGAGTGGCCATGCTTTATATCATGCTAACTAGTCTTAAAGAGTTATTTTCTCAGGTAATCCAGCCTGGGTACTATCAGGGAGGATATATCTATATCTGTATCTATATCTATATCTATATCTATATCTATATCTATCTATCTCATAGTACATGTCCTAGAGAGATGAACATAAAAGAGAAGAAAGGAATTCCTCTCCCATGAGCAGGAATGTCATTATTTATTTATTTGATACAGGGTTTTGCTATGCAGCTTAGATTTATAGTAGTCCTCTTGTCTTGGCCTCCCCGGTGCTGGGATTACAGGCATGTGCCACCATGCCTGGTTTTGGTGTTCAGCCTTGCGCTTGCCAGGCAGGCATTTAGATGGCTGAGCTATCTCTCTAGCCCAGGAATGTCATTTATTCTTTTTTTAAAATCTACTCTGCATAGAAAAGGATTAGTTATGACCCTTGCTTCATGACACAGCATTATTAGCTGACCATTCATGATTTCACTATTTGGTAGGTATTTGGATGTTAGGGTCTAGAGACAGCTCTGGCTGGAGTTTTGAGAATCATCTGTTAGATGTCATATTACAGTGCCATATGAATACTAATATTTATAGCAGCATAATGCATAATAGCCAAATCCTGGTAACAGCTTGTATGTCCATCAACAGGCTAAAGAAAATGTGGTATCTACACACAGGGACTACTATTTGGCTATAAGGAAGGATAAATGTGAGACATTTGCAAAAAAATGGATACACCTGGGGCCAGGGTGATGGCTCAGTGGAATAAGTGCTTCCCTGGCAAGCGCGAGGGCCTGAGTTCAATCCCTGGCTACACACACACACACACACACACACACACAAAAGGATACACCTGAAAAATATAATGCGAAATAAATCAGACACACAAGCTTAAATACAATGGATATCTCTCACTTGAATAAGGCCAAATAAAGAGCAAAATGAAAGTTTGATAGAATGAAACAGAGAGATAAATATTTTGCAAATGGGAAACCAAGAGCAGGGGATGGGAAGACGTGGGGATGGGAAGGGGAAATAAAAAGATTCAAGTCATGTCACACACATGTGTCAAATAGGCACAATGACCATAAACATTATATGCATAAGTATGAACTAATAATAACAAAAAAATGAAAATGGGAAAAGGGAATTTAGAGAGGAAGAGAGATGGGTGGGGAGGGGAAGGAGAATAAAAAATAATCAAAATATATGCATGTACTACTCCCTAAGGTGAATATAAATGATGAATTATTCACTCGTGGTGAATGATCCCCAATACATGGGAGGACAAATAGGGAGTATAGGATGTGAAAGGGACTTCACAGAAGAACATTATGAGGAACACCAAGATTTAAGGTCTAGAAGAAAAGGGATCATGGAAGGGGTGACATTTATTTATTTATTTTAAATTAAGTTTATTGGTACATTTTAAGTATATAAAATTATTATATTCATCATAGGGAATTTGTACCTGTACGTGATATAATTTGATTCTTTTTTTTTCATTTCCCTCCAACTCCTTTCCCTCCTTATTTACAAAAGCTTTGTTTCCTTTTTTTCTTCGTTTCTCATTTTTCTTCTTTTGAGAGTGTGACTTTTAAAACCCAATTGAGGGAAGGACAGACTTTGTACGTGTGCAAAAGGAAGGCTTCAGGCCAGACCATGGGGGCTGGTGCAGGCTGAGGTGTTTAGGCAAGTCCCAAAGGCTTTAACACTGTGCTATCTTTCTCCTGAGTGCGCTGGCTGCTGGCTCTGTGCCAGGCTGTAGTCTTACTTCCTGCCTAAAGGAAAAGTGCATTGCTGAGTGCCCTGTGCCTTGTAGAGGTGGTGGACGGTCTGGGAGGTGGTGTGAGGAAAGTGAAGTGCCTAGGTCCTTTCGCTCACTCTGTCCTTTATTCTTTTACTTTCACAGCCTTGAGGAGCAGTGTCTCTCCCAAAATCCCCTTGAAGGACACACCATAGATGCAGGAAGTCATTGAATGAGGACAGCACAGCTGAAGTGAAGCATCCAAGCCAGACAATGGCTGTAGCCTTGGAGTCTGAGACCCAAGCCTCTCCCACACCGGAGTCTGAGGACCTCCTGATTGTGAAACTGGAAGAGGACTTATGGGGATCAGAACCCAACTCCGAGAAGGACTGTGACCCTGTCCCTGGGCCTGAGGCTTCCCGCCAGCGCTTTAGGCAGTTCCAGTACAGGGATGCGGCTGGACCCCATGAGGCCTTCAGCCAGCTCTGGGCTCTCTGCTGTCATTGGCTGAGGCCAGAGATCCGCCTCAAAGAGCAGATCCTAGAGCTGCTGGTGCTGGAGCAGTTCCTGACCATCTTACCCCAGGAGGTGCAGAGCTGGGTGCAGGCACGCCATCCTGAGAGTGGGGAAGAGGCAGTGGCCTTGGTGGAGGATTGGCACCGAGAGGCCCAAGCTGCCCAGCAGCGGGTGAGGCAAATAGTCTGTTCTGTAAACCTCAGCCAAGGCAGGAGAGCTGTCTTTAGGTTAATAAGTGCCCCAAATCACAATAATAACTGACATTTTCTGAGCATTGCTATATAGCAGGTACTGTTGTAATTTCTTTCTTTTTTTTTTTTGTATTTTAGGGAAGGGTCCACAGGGTGTTCAGGGTCTCGCTACTAGATCAGACTTGTGGTTATCCACCTGTTTACAGTCTCCCAAGAGCTGGGATTACAGGTGCGCGCCACCATGCCCAGTGTCAGTGCACCCTGGGGCGGGGGGCCCACCATGGCAGGCCCAGGGATTGAACCCCCGTCCAGTGCACCTGTTTGCAGATGCTTTAATCTGCTGATCTATTTGGCTGGCCCTTATTTTCTTTCCATATGTTAACTCAAGGTTCTAAACAATTTAATGGGATAGATACAGTTATCTTCATTTAACCAACAAGGAAACAGTGGCAGAGTAAAAGGAGGTAATTTGTTCAAGGTTATACAGCTACTAAGTGGAAAGGCCAGGATTTGAACTCCAGCAGTCTAAACTCTAACCACTTGCTTGCTTAACCACTATTCCAGAGTGCCTCTCAGTATCGTATTGAACAGTAAGGTTAATCTGTATTATGTTTTATGTATACCACAATCTTATGTGTGTAACCTGTTTGGATGGTTATAGCAGTAATGTAAGTTGATAGAAATAGTATTTTCCCCAGTTTTGACATGAAGGCTCCAAAAGTCAGAGGACTCACAGATGTCACCAGTGAGCAATCCAGAGCCTAACCTTTAGGTTTCAGTGTCATTGTTCTTTCCACTACACACAAGTGTCTTACCTGCCATTCATGGGAAGGCAAGTACTTCTCAGTTGTAAGGCCCACATGAGGTATCAGCTGACATTTTTTTGAGCACTTGTGTCAGACTCCTGTTATAAGCTTGTTATATGTATCCCTTATCTAATCAGCCCATCAGTCCAAGTAGGCACTAGTATTGCTCTTTTTCAAGTGAGTTAACAAAGAGGTAAGTGACTTGTCTAAATTTATGTAGGTGCTAGAGCTGAGAAAGGGGGATGAATGTTTTTAGCATTTACAATTCCAACAATTTATGAGCAGCCCTGAAGGCCTATGATGTAATATATAATTTTACTATGACAGATTTTGAATCTCAGCATATGCAGAACAGGTCCTTTTAACTGGCTGTGGATTAAGCCAGCCATCTATAAAGTACTGTTTCTGGATACTTCACCTCAGCACAACCTTTTACTTTGTACTTGTCACAGTCTGAAATTCTTGTGATATTATATTCACCACATTTTGTTGAGAGATATGTTAGGTTTGAGAATATATCCTTCAAAATGATAGGGATTTTCTACACATTTAAAATGTAAAGCTCTACAGATGTGAGATTGGGGCAAGGAAAGGTTAAGGTCTATGATTTTCTCTTGGATTCCTTAATAAATTTCTGGGAGATACAAAGATATTAATATTTGGAGAACTAAGTATGAGAGCATGTGCCTTATTTTAATATACTTCCTCATTCCTTCATGTTTTACTGCTTCTAAGTAGACTAGCCATTTGTCTTAAGTGTCAGTGAAGAAATAAGTGGAAATCTTAGGATTTCAGAGCTGGAAGATGAGGAAGTTGAGACCAGGGATGAGAACTGACTTAAATCAAGGTCTCTTTGATTTTCCCTCTGTAAAGATGAGAGAGTTGGACTAGTCCAAAAGTTCTCAAATTATGCCCCCGACCTGATCAAATGTTGAACTACTTCTAAATTGAGAAAAAACTTTTTGGAGTTTACTTACTATAAATAATTTTTATTTTGCACTTTTCTGCCTGTTCCTGAGTGCTCACAAATTTTAAAAATTTATTTATTTATTTGGGCAGTTCAGACATGTAGTGATCCTCCTGTCTCAGCTCCCTCAGTGCTGGGATTACAGTCATGTGCCATCATATTTGGTTTCAGTGGCCTGCACAGTGCATCTGAAGTTCTGGGGCTAGTGTAGCACATGGTACCAGGGATTGAACCTGGGTCCTTGTGCTTGCCGGACAGGTGCTTGGCCCGCCGAATACTCACAAATTAAAAAAAAAAAATGGATAAATAGCATATCTCTGGCACATATGTTGCAGTTGTACGTTATGTTATGAGGTATATGACTTAAGTATATTTTCTGTAAATAAATATTTTCCAAGTCTTTATAAGGGATGAAATATATTTTATGTTCCTCAAAGC